ATAGAAGTAACATTTATAATTGCTCTATTCCATTTGAAATCTCCACGAGCCTGACACGTTATTGTAAAAAACGAGAATCACGGGGATACCGAGAAATCGATATTACCAATTGGCCAAGGAAAAATGGGAATGTGCTTTTTATCAGAGACTGGTTGGATGGTGCACGAGGTGCATAGGATGGAGGAGGAGTCCCCTCAGAAGGAGGAAAACGATGCGACATTGGAAGCTGGCGTTACGCTACCGGACGAGCCTGATCTCTGCGCCGATCGGGCACGTGCTACAGGCCAAGAAGAATTTACGTGTTCCCTCTACGTATCGCGTGCCGTTGGCCCGCAAGTGCAAGGATCCCAAGGTGCTCGAATGAATTCCACGATTCTTTTCATCGCGCGAACGATTGTCATGCTTTTCTCTTTTCAGACGTAACACGAATTACGCAATTCAATCTCGTTCGTACCGCTGGGAGAAAACCTCTCCGACTGGCTGTAGGTTATGCACAGAGTGGTATAGTCCGAATAAGTCCTGACTGTACATTAACACGTTGACTGACGTGGGTCACCGGTGACCAAATTGAATCACTATGGTTCACTCAATTAAACGACGATTATTTGGAAACTTTAATTTAATTTCGTTATATTCTTTCATTTCATAGATAAATAGGAATAATTATTATCGTGTTATCTACTTATTCACGGTATTGAATATTTTTATTCGACGTCAGTTAACTTATGAGACAATTGTTTCCAAGTCATCTCGGAGATGCGGTCACCGGTGACCACCGTGGCAGTCACCGTGTTAACACTTTGCACGAGGAAGTTTCTCACTAGAAATATTCAACATTTTTTATATATATAAATTCACTAGAAATATTATATACTTTTTATAATGTATAATAGGCGATGTTCTTTGAAACTATGTCAGAGGGAAATCATAAGTACATTGAGAAACAAAGCTATTTCATTCTAATATTTCACTAAATAAAAATAAACTCAAAATATCAGATTTGATAGTTTTACTCCTTGAAATCAAGCGGCGACCGAGAGTCACATTAGGATAAAAAAGCTTTGTTTCTCAATTCACTTGTGATTTCTCTTCGAGTTCCTTTAACCCATTTGCATCATAAGCGCACATATGCGCGCCACTGTTGTGTAATTTGTATATCATAAAAAAAAGGAGAGATACATGTCATGAGTGCAACAATCGCCGTGTGGCTATGTAGGTTCTTCATTTTTTATACATTTCGACCCATTTCCATTTTGATGCAATTGAAACATTTGTGAAGGCCAATTTTCCACTTTTCCTTATGATGCAAATGGGTTAAAAAAACATCGTCTTTGTCTAGTTGGAAAATGTTAAATCATCTAGCGAAATTCTTCGGAGTGCAAAGGGTTAACACGTCGACTGCCACTGGAAGTTAGAAATAATAATTAACGACTCGATATCACTGTTTGTATTGCAATCGTTTCCAAGTGATTTAGAAGCTCGGGTCACCGGTGACCACCGTGCCAGTCGACGTGTTAATTTATAGCATCTCCTACAGCCAACGGTTGCATAGTTTCGCGGCGGACATTCGAATATTCCAGCGCGTTAGGTAGTCCACCCTGTATTGCAATTTAATGGAACTCGGTCGTTTCGCAATTGCTCGGTCAACAGAATTTAAAAAAAACGTGCAAACTGCTCGAACGAGTTTAACAGACTGTTGTAATCGGTGCTCGTTGCGTTAGCGCTTGGCAACATTTTCTGGAACATTCATTTAATACGTAACACGTGGCAAACTAATTGTGAACCTGGAGAACACTGTATGCTTGTTAATACTGGAACCACCGAACGTCATCGAAATGACCGCTTACAGTTGCCGATAGATTACAAAACCATCTGTACTTCTAGTGTTAATGTCACCAACGAAAATTGTTAGATTTTCTATTATTAATTATTAGATTTTTATTAAAAGATCCAAGGTATGTTACAGCATTTTATTTTCACTATAAATACCATAAAAATTGCAGTTGCTGATAGATTACAAAACCATCTGTAGTTCTAGTGTTAATATCACCAACTATATCAACGTTCTCAGCATTGCTGTATCAAATGAAACATTCTATGTATGATTGTAGCAGGCGGAGAATTGCTGCGTTCGAACCTGGAAGATGTGATCCGCACGTCGGCTCCTTTGGCGGCGTGGCACGTGTCCGAAACTCCTTGCGGCCTGATCGCTGCGTTCGCCCGCGAAGCTGACGCCGAGAAAATCCTGCAGCGGGGAGACTTGGCGCGTGTGTTCCAGGGACCAGTACAAGTATCCTCGCCGCACCGAAATCTAGGCAATAGGAGCAACGAAAGAAGTCGTTTCCCTTGATCAATTTATGCGTCGCCTTTTTGTTGCGCCTGTGGCCTTGATTGTCTTGTTAACACTAGAACTACCGAGCACTTCGACTGTCTAAACATTTCTTAATAAATTCATGCTTATAGTTTTCATATAGAAATGTTTGTATTAAATTTATTTTTACTTTTATATTAAAGTAGATGTAACAACACCTGAACTGAAATATAAATTAATTGAAATCTTAATAAATTCATGCTTATAGCTTTCATAATTATAAAAAATTACTGCAAAGGTAGGTTGAAATCTTTATGAAAGCTATAAGCATGAATTTATTAAGATTTCAATTAATTTATATTTCAGTTCAGCTATTGCTACATCAGCTTCTTTAATCGTTTCTTAAAGAAGTGTACCTTTGCAGTAATTATAAAAGAAATTAGGAATTGGCCATTTTGACCCATGGTAGTTCTATTATTAAACAGCTTTTACAAATTTCTTGATAAAAACCATAAGCGTGCGTTTATTGGGATTTCACTTGAGTTGCATTTCAGTTTTGCTATTACTGAATTAATTAATCATTTTTCATAGAAATATCTGCACCTTTTCAATAACTGTAACAGAGATCAGAAACGTCATTCTGACTCATCTGGTAGTTCCAGTGTTAACTGAACAACCGACTAACTTTCCAGCGTATCTTCATCTTCTAATCGATTTTCCCTCATGGGAACGATTTAGAAAGGAGCAAGGTCGAAGACAATCGCGTCGGATCGCGCAATATTCAAAGAATTCCTAATAGCCGAGATATTGCCTTTCTCTTTTCTTTTCCCTCTGTATAATGTCGTCCGCTCGAGCGGCTGATGAATTCATGTGGAGATCAGTGTATCAAGTTTTCCGTTTGTCCATTAGGTGGCTCGGTTCTCGGCGAAGGATTCCCGCTACAGGCAAGCGTTGCTGTTGCGTGATGTTCCTTGGGCGATCCCGCTTCAGGACATCAACTCTGCCCTGTCGAAGCAAGCCATCGCGGCGGGAAGCGTTGAGCGTTGGCGTCAATACGTCCGCGTTGAGGTTATACTCCTCAATCTCTTAACACGTTGCGTACCGACTAATTTTCATTAGCTGCGTCAGAGTTGGTTCCATTATTCTTAGATAAATGATTTTTATAAAAACCGACACGCTTTAAACTGACGTTCAGTAAACTCAATATTAAAGATAGCTAGAGTCATTCATTGCGGAACAGTCGCCTAAGGCAGCGGCGATAGGTATAGGTTACGTGAACCCGCTTAATTGTTTTATAATTATAGTACAGCCCGACACGTTTAGCTTAACGCTTTGACGCTGACGTGGCTGACAGTTGAACATCATATTAGACGGCGTATATTATTAACCTCTTGCGCTGCAAAGACGTACCATGCACGTGGAGTATTTATTCCAAAATTCCCAATGACGTCTTATACGCAGATGAACTTATTAAGTATTTCCTTTGTGCAGAGAGTTCTTTGATGCTACTAAGTACTTTATAAATGCATACTTAATGTAGTAAGTAATAAGATATCAACTAAATTGACTTAGCAACACGCGAATCGAATGATAAATTGAAATCTTGATACTGTACTCTTAGAGACTATGAACAAATTCAACCCTTCGCACTCGAGAGTACCACACTTAAAAAGTTAAATTAGGTGATTTAACAAAATTATAAACTTTGACATCTATCATTAACCATTACCACTGCATCGATACGTGAAACATTGAAAGGAACTTTCTGGGCGGAAAGTATAGCAAAATCGGCACTCAACGTGTTAATTTTAATCGATTGTAAAAATGTGGGTCGTACTCCATACGACCAAACCAAAGAAGGGAAAGTCTCAAAAAATGATCCTTCGCGGAACGTGTTAAAAACCGTTCCACCGCGAACGTCGTGAACAAGTGAACGCACCGGGACAAACCGAGAGCGTCGATAAATATGCAACACGCTATCCAGCGCGATGATCCTTTCCTTTGTCAGAAGGATCAACGATCGGTGGTCGGCATTGTCTACATCGTTTGAATATGCTCCTCAGGTGCTGGACGCTGGCCATTACGAGCTGCTCTTACGTCAAGGATTGGACTTCTTCGGCGCGGCGCGGTTCAACGCGATCCCCGAACGCTGGTGGCGCGGAGGAACCGGAAGCGGCGGCGGTGGCCCGCTGCAACCGGGACCCGGGATGGTGAACAACCTCCTGGAGGTGGCGAACTTCCAGACCGGAGGGGACGGGGTCCTCCAGTGCTACCGTTGCCAGGGCTTCTGGCACATGGCCGCCAACTGCAGGCACCTGCCGCGTTGCGTTCGCTGCGGAGAACCGCACAGCGTCGAGTTCTGCCCCAGACCTCGGAACAACCCCATTTGCTGCCATTGTTCCGGCCCTCATCACGCTGGTAAAGCATTGTTGCGAATCTAGTTTCTAGATTTACAGTAGAATATATATAGTAGAATATATATATATATATATAATAGAATATATATAGTAGAATATATGTAGTAAATATAATGGTATTATATTTAGAAACTCAATGACTTGTTTCAGTTGAATTTTTTCAATATTTTGTTTAGAGGATTTGTTGGCTTCAAGAAAATATTACAATTGAGAGGATTTGTTGGCTTGAAGAAAATATTACAATTAAAAGGATTTGCTGGCTTCAAGAAAATATTACAATTGAGAGGATCGTCACTGAAGCAAACACTGCTAGCAGAGGTTTAATACGCAGTTCGGATAATAGAGGTCCTATTAGGAGTTTCTATACCATAGACTCGGATAAGCGAGGTTCTCCGTAGCTATCTCGTTTGATCTAGAGCAAGTGCTCACGAACGATCATTTTCTAAATCGGGAGGACGAGTTAACTCGTCATTTCTATTTGCCATGTCTTTCCATGGTTTTCTATTCCCGTGTCCGTTCACCTGGAGGCTTCTGTTTTCTCTGGCACACTCGACGTCGTCCGGTTAACGTCTCCTATCAACGCACTGTTCTAAATTAGCTCGTAGAACAATATAATATCGAAATAGTCATTACTATTCCTGTTTTCATCGAAAGAATTTGTTTCGCGGCACCAGACCGAACAACAAAGAAATTTATTCCGTATGTAAGAAGAGTCATTTAATTGCTTCGGCGATAAAATTAAAAAAAAATTCCAACAGCTGGTCGACTTCGCTAACGAGCGGCTCAAACGTCGAACGCGTTCGTTGGCCTTCATGTTACGGTACTTGAGCTTAACTATTCATTGTACTCGAAGAATTATGTTCTATATTCAAATATGGAAGAACTATTTAGTCGAGTAATCAGCCAGCTAATGGGTCGCAACTAATTTTGTAACGAAGACGAAGAATAAGCCGTTTGTAATGTCCACGGTAAACACAGTCGCGCCAGGAAAATGAAAGTCGTCGTTGATGGTTCTCTGAAGATTTAACGAGCTTGCATATTAATAATGCGCGATGAGGCCAGATTTTTTATATCGATTTCTAAACTGTCTTTGTAAAAGCTAAAAGTGTAGATTTAACATTTGGCTTATATTTTAGTTTAGGCATTAATTGACACGTCCGTTAGCTGCGCTTATTTCAGTGATGGCCTCAATTATAATATTTTCTTCAATCTAATCAATCTAAACAGAATATGGAGAAAATGAAACTGCAACAAGTTATTGAGTTCCTGAATATAATGGCGTAGCTTGTAACTTTAAATAACAATATCTAAGATTATGTAGCTTGAAACTTTAAACAATAATAACTAAGATTATGCCGTAGGTTATAACTTTAAACGACAATATCTAAGATTATACCATAGCTTATAACTTTGAACAACAATATCTAAGATTATTCCGTAGCTTATAACTTGAAATTAATCTTAGATATTGTTATTTAATTAATGTCATGTAAAATATAAGATTGTCACAAATATGTGACTAGCGAACGTAATCAGCTTATTTGATCATTTTTCAAAGATTCATTTTTTCAGTAATCACAAAAGAATCAAGGAATGAATGATGTTAATCCATCTGCTATTTCTAGTGTTAACGTCCACGAATTTCTCGTTCCAGGCTACCGTCAGTGCCCGGTTCGCCAGCAACTTTCGAATGCTACGCCTATTAGCATCACGCTGAGCACGACTCGGATCGGAAACCAGTATCCGGTGAACGCCGCGACGAAGACGACGCCGTCGACGAACGAGCAGCAACCCTTAAAGTCGGGCCAGTCTTAACGGACGTCGGACACCGTTCGCTGCGCCACTCGCTGGGCCACTCGCTGCACGTTTATCGGCGTATGCAAACGACGGATTACGCAAATTCGCGGTTATCAATTGTTCATGGACGTTTGACGAGCAACTCCGGCAGATAAAATTTTGAAGCGTATCGTCGAATGGAAACACACTCGACAAAAACAACGAGCGAGAATTATTGCCTTTGTACGATGGCAAATTCTGGACAATAAATTAACCGTGTTGCGTTATTCTCGTTTTCTAGAATATAATTAATTAATACTATATAAGGTATATATTAATAAGAACAATTCAGACACGGTTGCATTATGTCTATATTAGTTTATTAACGAGCTTCCTGTAGAAATTCAAACGTAATCAATTTGGTGTCTTCTCGGTGCTTTAACCCTTTGCACTCGAAAGCTTTTCAGTAAAATATTTGAACATTTTCTGATGAGATAAAGACATTGTTTGAAACTAATTTAACATTCATAGATAAATTAGGCAAAGCTATTTTATTGAAATATTTCACGTAGCAATACAAGGTTTGATTTAAAATGGTAAACACTCGACCTCATAGTTTTGTTGTATCAAATCAAGTGGTGACTGAGAGTCACCTCTCGAGTGCAAAGGGTTACTTTGAGTGCTGAACATTGACAGAAAGCTTGCTCGTCTGAAGATCAATGAATAATATTCTGAACATAGCTTAAGTCCATTTTTGAAAGGAATCAAGTTAACCCTTTGCACTCCAGAAGTTTTCCACCAGAAATATTCAATATTTTCTAATGAGATGCAGATGACATTTTCTCAGATTGAATTAAGAAATCTCGAAATTATTCTCTTTCAATATTTCGTACATTGATGCATTGTACAAAGTTTAATATTAAATATCAAAGTTTACAGTTTTGCTGTGTCGAATCATTTGGTGACTTAGAGGCGCCTCTGGAGTGCAAAGGGTTAACCGTTAGAATAGTTATAATTCTACGTGATCTTGTTATTCTTTAATAGTTCAGGCACAAAATGGCACAAAAAAGGTTGGGAAACACTATGTTAAATAGTGTTTATATTAGAAATCTTCCCCATGAGTCTGACACGGTGTCGCAAGGCAAGGGGTTTAAAGTGTACGAAACTCGCCGCTAGGTTTCTCTTTCGGATCCGCGGGATCATCGAAGATGCTCGAGTAGATCGCCGCGCACTATCCGCATAATTCTTTACTTTTCGTCCTACTTTCTTTGTCCTAGTCTCCCTGAATGTAGGTCCCCCCGGTACACGTAGCTCGCGTACATCGTCTCTGCCAAATACCTTGTAACGTCAGGATAAACCATGGTGGGAGCCACGGGGGACAGGAGAGGGGCGACGAAGGAGGTGGGAGTCCAGCGAGCAGGTGTACCCTGCCAAGTTGTTGCGATGCTTGATAAGCTTAACCCATTTTGTTCTGCGAGCAATTTGTTGAAAACATTCCTCTTATGGAAAACGAATGGTGTACTGATGTTTTTGAGGAATATTGATAAATATTCATTTAATGTTAGTACATCACTGAATGGATTAGGATGAGCCATTTCTAAAATTGTCTACAATTGTTGAAAAGGTAGCAGGGAGATTTACTGAATAATTAATGAATTCACTTAGCAATAAAATTGAATGGTAAATCAATTGAAATCTTGATAGTGTACTCAGAGATTCTGTGGAGAAATTTAACACTAAAACTAGAGTACTTAAACTGACTTTAATTGGTAATTGGTTTATATATCAATTTAGATATTACTAGGAATTAGTATTACTAAGATATTACTAATTAGGAATTAGATATTACTAAGATAGTACTAAGAATTAAGAATTTCTCAAACAAGTATCTATGCCTTTCCAATAATTGTAAAAGAAACCATGAATGGCTCATTTAGACCTGTCTAGCAGTTGCCTTTTCCTAATTTTTCCATAGAAACGCTAAAAGTGCACTACTCAGATCTCAACTAATTACAATTCTCTTCACCTATTACAACAACTTCATCAGTAATTGAATAATTTATCATTTCATTATCTGAAAAAGAAATCAGGAATGGTTCATTGGACCCATCTGGTAGTTGCTTTTCATAATTTTCCCATAGAAACGCTAAAAGCACACTACTCAGATCTCAACTAATTACAATTCTCTTCACCTATTACAACAATTTCCTCGGTAATTGAATAATTTATCATTTCATTTAAAAAAGAAATCAGGAATGGTTCATTGGACCCATCTGTTAGTCCCAGTATTGAATCCAATCCAACTCTGCCTAGCAATAAATCCACCCACTCGCACGAGTGCAACAGCAATACCATAATGGTACCAGCATCAAAACAATCGTCACCGGTAAACAGTTTCCTCGCGGATATCGTGCCCGAGCGAGTAAACGCACAGGGACAAAATGGCTTAAAAAATGGCTGGAACAGAAGAGAGGGGCTGGAACGAGTCGTTCCCTCCGGCTCGTCCCACCGCGTCCCGGCCGGCCGTTCCTCCGGGGGGCCTTCTGAAACTTGGCAGGCCATGCCACATCCTGATTCGATCGGTGCCCGGCGACGGTCGAGTTCCAGGCACGCTTGCGCGTCCATTATAGATGCGCAAGCCGCAACATTCACAGGAACACCGATACGCTCGCGGCTCGCGTCCGGGTAAAGTCGCGTCTCCGGTTCGTTCTCCTAATTGTGTTCGCGCTACAATTCTCTCGACTGGTTAATACAGCTACAATTCTCTCGACTAGTTAATACAGCTACCAAACGTGCGAATCAATCGATGATCAGAGGATCAAAGAAACTAGCTCGGATGAGGTTCACCCTGGAGAACGGAGCCCGACCTCGAGTTCACCGAGTTGAACGGATAGATCAGAACTAGAGGATTAACAGGTGACATGTGACAGTTACCGTGCAACCCTGCATTTCCCGCACCTTTGAAGGACCGCGCGTTTCCTTGCAAAGGTGCTCGCACCGAGGTGACTACAGTGAAGTGGTGAACGCTGGACCATGGTTTGGTCCCGGTCGACGAAAGGTACCACGGCAACGCCTCGGTCAATGTTATGAATAAACCTTTCTCTAACTCAGTTCCGCTTTTACATCATCGGTGCAATAGTAGATACGCGAGCTTGTTAACGTGATTTCATTTGTTCTCCGGGTGAATAGTCTACGTCATTCTTTGGAAACATCCTGGTTTGATCTACGTAATTCTATAGTCTCACCAAGGATTGGTTAAACTGTCGTACTACTGGATAGTTAATACTGTCGTAGTTCCATCACATTCGTTGTCATATACATTTGAAATACGCTGTTAACACTTTAACCGCCATGTCGTCCGAATTGACAGCATTTTCTCCAACTTAAAAATTTTCTCGGTGTATCGAACGAACTGAACGTTAGATGTATTAAATATAGAAAGAACAGTAGACAATCGTTACGAAGAATTTCGACCGTTTAGTTTCTATTTCAGTATGAAAATTATTTTCATTGGAGGTTTTGGCTTATTTGGCAGTGAACGTGTTAATAGATTCAACGTCGCTCGAGGATCGTTAGCCAGTGCAGGAAAGTTTCTCCGTGTACACGATTCTTTATGCATTCAGACTAAAGATCCTTAATCAACTCAGCGAGACGTAGGTTGAACAATCATTGCACCTAGAGTCTCGTTGGTTCCTCGGCACCCCGTGCAGATCGTTAGCTTCAAGTACACGGCGCACGGTTTTAGACTATGGACGATAAGCGGTGCCCGGGGCGGACGGTCGGCAATCACGTTTTTGTCGCGGCGCGAGCATTGATCGTAATGATCCTATGAATAAGTTAGAACACTAGAGAAAACCGCAAACGGAATATACGATGCGACGTATTCGCGTAATTCCCGTGTCCCTTCGCCGAGGATGATCTAACGATTTCCGGCGGGGGAATCACAAGAATGCGAATAAAACGACCACGCGATCGGTAAGCGATCGAGTCTCTGTCCGTTTGCGCGTAGCGTGGCCCGGGAGGTCTCGAGATGTGCCTCTGGAGCGTACTGATGGTGCTGCTGCTGCTGAACAGCAGCGGGCAGCAGCCGACCTTCTTCAAGAGCGTGTTCAAAGGGCTGATCGGAGTGACGCAGAGGACCAGGCCGCAGGTCCACAGCGAAATAACGGCCGTATACTATCACGAGCAGACGATCGCGGTCGTCGAGATCGGGAACAACAACGAGCTGAATAATTGCAACTTGATCGAAGTCTAGTGAGTCTATTGCTTGTGCGTTGTCTATTTTGATAACTACTTTATGCGAGATATACTTATTCTTTACAACTTGATCGAAGTCTAGTGAGTCTATTGTTGGCGCACTGTCTATTTTGGTGGCCACTTGCGAGATATATTTGTTAAGATATAGATTCTTTGCAACTTGATCGAAGTCTAGTGAGTCTCTTATTGGCGCGCTGTCTATTTTGATAGCCACTTGCGAGATATATTTGTTAAGATATATTTATTCTTTGTGGAGAATGATCTACAGTCCTTGATCAAAGAATTACCATAGGCTTCAATGTTTTTGTTTAACGTTTGCTACCAGCGTCACATTTTTGACTGTAATCTCATATTTTACATAATGAAAATGAAATCAATTCTGTAGATCAATTATTAGAAGTTATAAACTATGATAGTATGTTTAGGAACTTATTGACTCGTTTCAGTTTCATTTTTTTAATATTTTGCTTAGATTTATTGGATTGAAGAGAATATTATAATTGAGACCGTTACTGAAATAAGCGCTGGTGGCGAACGTGTTAATTATAATATTAGAAATTAGAAAGGTGATAGTTTGTTCATTAGCGTTAACACGTTGAGTGCCATCTAAAATCTAATTATTATAGTTCACTCGATGAAACGATAATTGCAAACATTTCTGTTAGAAATAATGCTACTCGATACAGTGACATTCAGCTAGATGAACGTGTAATAATCATAATGACTTAGTATCATATTTCTTTCCATTAATTATTGAATATTATCCATGAATTATTAAAAATGAATAGAGACAACTAGAGAGAAGCGTCAGGTAGGATACATTAGTTGATCTTTTAAAAGCTCATCAATAGCACTGTAGTTTGACCAGGGACTGTAGATTATATTCAGTTATTCGCACGCTCATTTGCATAAAGTGGTTGCAAAGAACTAAGTGCGAGTACGTAGTCGAGACGGTACGTTGAATAAGAAGTTACCGCGTCGCGCGGAATTCAGAGAAAGTGGAATTGTTTCAGCGAGCAAGACGAGGCTAATGAAATTTTGAGAAACCTGTCCGCGACGACGATACCTCAGCAAGTGTCTTTCCGTGAGATAACGAAGCTTATGCAGCAATGCGAGCTGTTGGATAAAATACAACATGACGTCTTGTCGTCCACGATGAGCAACGCTTTGAGCAGGGGCACACGGGTGATGAGCAGCTCCTTGTCCCTTCTTTCAGGCATTCTTCCAGGTGAATTTCTGAAAATACGTGATTTTTAAATGTGAATCATCAAACATGCGCTATTATTGCAGGAACAAAATGGTGTGGCACAGGGGACATCGCAGAAAGTTACCACGACTTGGGTCAAGATGTAGAAATTGACAGGTTTGAACGGTTATAATTGCTCGTACCGTACCAAAAGATAGACACTCTCTTATCAAGGTTAAACGTCGGTTGTTTCAGATGCTGTCGCAGCCATGATCTTTGTCCTGTTAAAGTGCGTGCACAACAGACACGATACAATCTCACTAATTACTCCTTGTATACCAAGTATGAAAAATATAATTTATTTACTTCGCTGGTTGTACATGTGAATCGCGTATCTTCGATACACCGTGGTTAATCTATTATAATATAGATCAATCTTCTTCCTGTTTTGTAGATCCCACTGTGTCTGCGACGAGGCACTGTACCGCTGTTTGAAAGCGAGCAAACATCCGACAGCGAACATCATGGGCCACATTTATTTCAATCTAGTGAGGGTGCCCTGTATAGAAGACATTTCAAGGGACGACCATTCTTCCATAGGAATACGGCGACAATTTATTCCTGCTAAAATGAATTATTGAAACGACTGTATTGGGTCTCTGAGTCATGGGCGAACGTAGTTTGTACTGTACAGTGATAATTTAAATATTTTTGTATGAAAATGCAAGCCTTGTGGTCTAGAAAATAAGGAGGGTGTTTTAACGTTTATAATTAGTCAATAATATACATACGTATATGTAAATACTGTAGTGAATATGTTGTAAAGCATGATAAACTTGCTCAAACACTTATGTGTGTATTCATTGGTATAGTATCTTGCGTTATGGAAGTAATCGCTTGTTTTAAATATGATAAATGGGGTATAATATCTTGTATAAGTTTTTTAATATCCAAACAGTTATGATTGTAAAGGTTACCTGAAAAATTATTTATTCTTGTTAAAACGTTGACGTTCATTGTCTAATTTAATAATAAATTGTTTATAATTACCTATTAACCATAAAGTTTCTTTCCTAACGTGTAGGTGTTGGCATGAGAGTAATTTGTTTAAAATCTCGGAATCTGAGTTGGGATACTTTGGATTTTTCAAAAGAAACTTCGCTAATTGTCCGGACTTTTCGCTAACAGTATTGGCTAATATCCTTATACATGCTGTAATCTAAAATAAAATGAAATATATTATATATAGTACAATTGAATTTAGAAAAACATTGATCTAAAGGCGCATGCCTCTGTTATAGCTGTGATATTATTTGTAGTGTTCTTGTATAAGTAGTCTACTATCAAAGGCACTGTATTATATAAATACGTGTTACAGGCAGGATGAGAAGATAATAAAGCTAGTAGCCAAATAAGATAAGGATCCTCAAAGGTGAGACTTTTTTCTGTACTCATTTTAACAAGTTCAATCATTTCACTTTCGCTGAAAGTAATTTTACCATTAACAACATTTCTAGTCTTAAATAATGCAATGCGAAAATAAGTAGTTCTTACAGAATATGGGGAAAGCCAATATGTACATAATGCATAGCCGTATACGCTACAGAGGATAAGATAGTATTATCACAACTATGCATTAACGACACAATATATTTTAAACAATCCTGAGCATGAAAAATTTCAAAAGCCTTGCTGCATTCTGCTACCAAATTTCCCACTGTCCATATAGAAACTTCCTACGAAGAGAACAACATTAATTATATTGTCTTTTCATATATAACACTCTATAACTCACCAATAAAGGATAGTTTAGACTCTCTAATTCTGTAATAAGATACGGCGCGATACTTTTAGTCAATGTTGTACAAGCTTTTGCATTTCCAAGCGCTATGTTACAACAGCAACTGATAGCAGATAACTGTAAAGCTGGATTATTACTGGAAACATCACGTACTAGGGCAAATATTATATTGTCCACCTTCAAGAATGATGTCACATTTTCTTCGCTCTGATACAAGAATAATTACATTGAAATCGCCACACGAAGAATCAAGGAAAGTGCAAAAAATCATAAAATATATATATAAATATATGTAAGTTAAGTAAATATAAACAGACAGTAAATAAATAAAACAATAACCTGGATAAGAGCATTTTGCAATTGTCTATATTCCTCGATCGGTAACGGCTTCTTTTTAAGCGCTTTCGCCTTGTCAACAACAAATTCCGGCGTGAAAGACGAATCCAGTATGATGTTACCTAAAGACACGCGATTCTTATTTAATATTTTCATACGGTGTTCCTTTCTTTCCGTGTAAGTTAATTCCCGCAAAGCCTCCCTTATAACCTCCACAGCGTTTGGTTTCGTAGAAACATCTAATTCCATTTTTATTTCTAAAATGAACAGAACTATAAAAACAATAGAAAACAATGTAATCGACCGATAGGGCACACGTTTCAACAATGACGTTTCACAAGAGCCGTCACACGTTTTAGAAACCACGCACGACAAACCGCGTGTCTATCAGTCAGCTGATCTTAATTTGTCCTCAGCGTTCAGTTTCAAGTTTACATATTGTTTCGTTTAAAAAATTCCCTAGTGATTCTCTGTTATCTCTGACACAAATGAATACAAAATGTATTACTTATAATAAAATACTATATTATAATATCTTTTAAGAATGGTAACCGATCAATAAAGTATTTAAACGTTCATATCGATGAACTCGTCGAGCGGCTGTGTATTTCCGTTTTCGTCTTCGTCTTCGTTACTGATGATCGACAGGATGTTATAAACGGCGTTTGGAAAAGCGGACGTTGGCCCGAGGATGTGCAAGCGGATCTCGCATTTCTCCAACGCGTACTTCCACTTTAAGTCCTCGCGTTGAGGTATTATCATCGCCTGAAATCCACAGAAGTGTCGGTTGAAAAATATTCGGTGGAACCGTGAACAATATAAATAAGTATGCATATCCTCAGTATTATTTATAGCGACCTGGAACTCAGCGGCCGTGCAACCAAGGACGCGTTCAGCCACGTCTCCTGATAATTTGCAACCAATAAGGTACCCAGTGTCGTCTTTCAGATTTACCTTCAAATTAAGGCTCATTACGTTCATGGGGACACGCGAACCGTTGCCTGACGGACACTCAAGGTTCATGCATGAATCGTTCTCGTCGAGGACCGTTCTTTTGCATAAAGCGCTGTGAAATGGAAATTGCAAATTGAACCGTGTGACCAAAGGGGTCCACGCGTTACGATTCATTGTACTAGTATAATTTTCATTCAATCATCATCTTTCATAGCAATATGATTTTCACAAAATCTGTTCTAGCAAATTAATCATAAATAAAATTCTCAAAGATACAACTCGTTGACAATCAATTGTAACGCGTAATGACCCCATGAAAGGAAATTTTACTAGTGGCAGGTAAATAGTAATGAGCGAAACCATCTCCTAGATATGATTCCAGGATTCAAGCTGTCGACGTTCATGTCCATTATGTACGCCTTCAGAATTGCAGCGAATTGAATTCTTTTCCCTTCCTTCGACTGTTTGTTCAACTTATTCGAAATGTCTTGTATCGTCATTACGGTGGAGATACTGTCCGCTGGCGAGAAATCAAATATTTCTATGTCTTCCAAGTAAGAGAAACATGTTCCCAATAGTGTCCGATTTTGTCCTTACGGTTTGGCGTCGCGAACGTGTTTCCGGACATTACGTCCGGGTCGTAGTATCGCACCGAATCTCTGACGGTCGTCGCTTCTGGCACGTCGGGGTTCTCGATGATCAGAGTTTTTCTAGCTGAAAATCCATGGAAAATTGACTCACCACTTGATTTCATACAGTAAAATTATAAAATTGAATTTAAAAATTTGATATTTAATATTATTGTTAAACTAAATATATAAATATTGTGAAATAAGTATATAAATATCATACATTTGAAGTTTGATATTTAATATTATTATACTATACTAAATATATAAATATTATGAAATAAGTATATAAATATCATACATTTAAAGTTTGATATTTAATATTACTTGTGTAACGCATCTATTTGAGAAGCATTGAAATAAAATATTGTCTTTGTCTCATCAGATGTTCAAGTGTTTCTAGTGAAAGACTTCCAAGTGCAAAGGGTTAATCATTGTGTCCAAGTAACCACCTATCGACAACACGATCGTCTTCTTAAAATTATCATATGCGATTCGGGCGTCCGTGAAGAGAAGTACCGTCCGTCTAGGCCCCCAGTACGCAGCCCTGTTGATCCATTCGTTCTCCCAGAGCACCAAAGATGCCACCTCATCCGTGGATCCATCTGCTGCCTCGAAATTACGGAATCGAATGCTTCTTCCGTCCCGTGTAATTACGTTACGAATATCGCCGATCTATCAAATATACAGAGTGTCAAATAAAAAGGAAGATTCTGCGTTTGTCAATAATAAAATATCCAAGTATAGTTAACCGATTTGTTCAGTGAGCAGGTTATACGATGACAGTCTAATGACCTTGACAAAATACATGTTCAGGCAATATTAAAAACAGGGGTTACACATAATCCCTCGGTGATTATATACAATCATTCTCCAATGTGGTGATTATGCATAATTTCCAGGGGGTTATGTATAATTGCCGGATTAGTCAAATTTGTAACATATACATGTACAACCCGGTAAGCTAATTTGTTCATATGATATTTAACCGTTTGAGTCCCACTTTTGTAAAAACCCAGTCAAAAAATGCCAGTCGTCTCAATTCAGAAATTGAATGCCGCTTTTCTATCCTTACAAGAATAAAATTACTAAATAAAAAGCAATAAAAAATAAAGTATATTCATAAATTTGATAAATATATAAATTTTCATTTTTTGAAAAAATTATTTTATTTTTATTTCAAATTTTGAATAGACCGTTACATTTTTCTAGTCTCAGACGGATAATAAAAATAAAAATGAATAATTAGAAAGGAAATAGACTGATATCGACAAGAAAATAATAAAAGCGACAGACTGGCACTTTTAGGCACGAAGCGGGATCGCGCCGCGTGGGACTCAAAGGTTAATTAAATTATCCGATCAATTGAAATCGAAACGTACGAACGTGACGACGACCAAAACGTCTACGTATTGATCGCGCAGCGTCTCCAGGTTTTCAAAAATGCTTTTCAGACATCGCGTCGTGGCTAAGCTCCTAATCGGGAGCATCAGAAGGGGCTCGTACTTTGAGCGTGTTGGTGCGTCATGAGCCTGCACTAACGCCTTGCCCTCGTTTACCGTCAGATTGCACTGACTGGAGACGGACGGTACAAAAAGCTCGTTTCTATCTTCCGGACGGCGTTCCAACACTTTCGGATTGATCACCTCCACTGTGAGTCGAATTTTAAATATTTCTGCTTTAATATTTAATCTAACTTATTTGTAAAAATTTATTAAATTTATTAAAACTGTATATATATATATATATATATATATATATTTATGAACACAAACCTACGCTGCCTATATGGAAATTGGAAGATAATTTTTTCACGAATTGCACGCTGCCCCATACAGTGACGTTTATGGTATCCTCCTCGGAGTCCCGTAACGTGAACGTCCACACGCCACGTTCACCATGATTAACTAAAAATCTCATGAAGCTGTTAATATAGTTCTTTTTTTTCAATGACGCTATAAGTTGTAAATAGATAAAAATTCGTAGTCTGATCGATTGGTTCTACCTGAAAATAATACAAATACATAAAATACGTACATCTCGACCTTGTGCTATCGAACGTTTTCATATTAAAACTGTGCATGATTATGCCGATCACAAGTGCGTTTTGCGCGCCAGGCTGCAACGAATTTAATTCTTGCCTGTGTACACCTGACATTCTTAAATGCTCCCTCGATTCTCTCAATACGTTCGTTGGACCAGGAATATTATCCTTTTCGAACGATCGGAGGATAACTTTCGATTTGAACTTAATTATTCGAATTCTACGTCCCGCGGTTTTTATTGTACGTTCAACTTAAAATCGGACAAAGGCGCAATGACAATGATGGCGTCGCTGGTCATGTGGGTGACGTCTGATTCGTCTATTTTTTTCATTGGACAAATCTGTTTTCAATAAATCGAAGAAAAATCTGCTGCTATTTTTAAAATTTTTGATTACAAATTTAATTAATAAATAACTTCGATATCGCATATTTTTAATAAAGTTCATTTGGCTTTATTTAATTTTTCAATTTTAAATTGAACGAACGATACATATGTTATGCTACGTTGTACGTGTCAATAGAATTATTACAATGAATAATTAATGAAAATCGATTGGCGTTTAATTATTATGAAATAGAATATTAAAATCTACGAAGGAAACAAATTGCAGACGATTAAAATGACGAACTGTTATTGTGAACGGGACTTAATAATTGTAGCAATTTTCTTCGACGTTGGCTAACCTGCCACGGATGACACTCAATTCACTTTCATTGATTTTAGTGACGTCTTTTTGTAGGAGGTGAGCTGTTCGTACGAGGTTTATGATTTGAGACGTTTATTTCGAGTTATTGTTTGCCAGGATTCGATATTTGTCACCATGGCTGACAGCGAGGAGAAAGCAATGCTGCTGATGGCCGAAGCCGAGAAGAAGCTAAGTTCGAAAGGTTTCTTTGTCTCTCTGTTCGGGTAAGTTTATCTACGTTCATTTACTTGAACTCGTCCGACACTGAATCCATCAGTATCTATCTCTCTCTCTTTGTCATTATTTATTTATTATGATTCATCAATCGGATCAACGTCGCGCTCTCTTTCTCTTTCGGATGATCTTCGATCTTGCTGCGGAATGTTTTCCTTTCTTTTCGGATCGTTCAACGTATGGTTTTTATGATATGCGACGTCCACACATGCATAGCCGTATATGTAACAGTTACCATTCAGTTGCGATATAGCGTGACGAGACTAAATTAAGGCGCATTCTAGGAAAACACGAAGCAATAAATTTTCACAGGCCTGCAATTATCGGAATTCCGATTTTTTTTCTACTTAGCAGTTTTAATTTTTACTGGCGACTATAAATTTCTGTCACTTGCTGCTGCTTTTTATTTGAAGTATTGAAATACAAACGGAAGATCAGTTTTATGGATTTTACTGGTTGTATTGCAGCGGACCTAAGGTTCAGGATGCTGTTGAATCCTATCAACGTGCTGCGAATTTGTTCAAGATGGCAAAGAAGTGGAATTCAGCTGGCAGTGCTTTCTACGAAGCAGCAGAAGTGAATGGCAAAGTAGGAAACCGTCATGATGCAGCTACCAATTATGTGGATGCTGCGAATTGCTTTAAAAAATCTAACATAAATGGTACAGTCATATTTGGAATTCAACTTTGTTTATGAGAGAAATATATTAATGCGATCGTTAACTTACTTGCAGAGGCCATTAGCTGTTTGTTGAAAGCAATCGAAATTTACACAGATATGGGTAGATTTACAATGGCAGCTAAACATCATCAAAGTATAGCCGAAATGTATGAAAGCGAGGCAGTAGATCTCGAAAGAGCTGTTCATCATTATGAACAAGCTGCAGACTACTTTCGCGGGGAGGAAAGTAATTCTTCTGCCAATAAGTGTCTTTTAAAAGTTGCGCAGTATGCTGCACAACTTGAAAAATATGATAAGGCTATTCAAATTTATGAACAGGTAAAACAATTTGAATCTTGATACTTTGAATACTTCTTAATCATTAAGAAATTAATAGAGGTGTCTCTTTTATTTGTCAGGTTGCTTCTTCATCCTTAGAAAGTTCTTTGTTGAAGTATAGTGCTAAAGAATATTTTTTCCGAGCGGCATTGTGTCACTTATGTGTTGACGTATTAAATGCGCAACACGCGATTGAACGTTACCAAGAACAATATCCGGCATTCCAAGACTCTAGGGAATGTAAACTAATAAAGGTATGACTTTTACAAATATTTCTTAATTATTCATTCGAACAAAGACTCCTGAACGGTCTTGAAAGAGGACTGAATAGATGAGGATTCCAATTTACATTTTCATGCAGCAGATCATTTAATTTTTATTTCAGACATTAATAGAACATCTAGAAGAACAACATCTTGAAGGTTTTACAGAGGCGGTAAAGGAATATGATTCAATTTCACGATTGGATCAGTGGTACACAACAGTATTATTACGCATTAAAAAACAAGTTAACGATAATCCAGATTTACGCTGATCGGTTATTCCATTTTCGTGCTATTCCTTATCGATGATATTATTAATCCAAGTCTATGTGTATTCTTTTTTAAATCATACCCTGCTTTCAGTGGAACTTGTAAAGTAGTTTCATTTTTTATATCCAAATATATTTTTCATAACACTTCCTTGCAATCTTGGCGGATCTACGGCATATTCATTTATCGAGTTATTATTTATTCATAGAAGATTGTCATCAAAGAGTATACAGAATGAACGTCAGCTAATCTATGGAACTTACTAGTTCGAAATGCCATTATAAGGGGGCATACAAATAAATATAGAACTAAATAATATTAGAACTTTGTTGGTATTCATATTTATGAATATATAAATAGCTAGTTGAAAATTGAAAGCTTGTGCAGTTTAATTTCAGGATTTGTGACCGCAGTGAATTATCATATTGAAAACCATTGATTCTCGTAAATTGAGTGACCTTGATAGATGTGGTGCGACCTTACATATATATATATATATATATATATAATATAATATAATATAATATATATATGTAATATTTCTATCAGCTGTTATTATTTATTTTAATAATTCAGATTAAACAGTGCTAAGATTTTCTGGGTACCGAATGAATACACGTAGCCCATGCTTATTGTGAATTATAATATAATTTAATACTTTTTAGGAGCATCTTTTCTGAAATTGTTATAACTATTCGATAAATTGTCAGTTGTTATCTTTACACTGCCAGGGTATCAAAATAATGGATGTGGAGTATACATTATTTTTCAAACTAAATTGGACATTCTATTGACATCAGTTTCTCTTGTTTAAACTTGTCTTACGGAGAGTTCGACATAGACTTAATCTCTATTCTTAAATACACGCTCAGCATTAATTGGTTGTTGTGATTCATATTAGTGTAAAATTTCAAAAAAATGTATCAATCACTTTCTTGGGTTTCGAATTAATTGGGAGAAGGATAGGAGAATATGATCATAGTGTATATTTAAGTAAATGTATAATAACGATATTTTACACTATTAAGATACGTTTATATTAATGTTAAATATTTATTTTACCAATATATATTTGTACTCGAAACTAGGTGTAACGTAGCTCATATTAGAGAGGAACATAGCTTTCAGAATGTTATAAGCAAATTTAATCTATTTTACGCTGATTTAGTGTTATTTGCAACTTTCATTGAAAAGTTCCATTGTTAAGTAGTACTAAAAAATTATAATTAAAATGCTTAGAATGTAATCGCGCATGAATTTATTATGCGGGTGCACGGAGAGGAATGAAACTTGCAATGCACACAATTTATGTTCTACAATTTTCCTTTTTTTATTCGGAAAATTAATTGTAAAAAGATCAAGCTGTCGTTTTCTTTTGATGGGGAAAGTCGCAGGAATCGTATGTAAGATGTAGAATTTACTATTGTATGTAATCTTCCGCAAAATAACTTGTTTGTATACATTTACATATATATTGAGGTACATACATACATATATATATACATTAATTCTACTTTCTTAACCAATGACTAAAAGACACTTATTCATTGGTTAACACCTATATCTCTTATAGTGATACTATGTTATTTAAACAGTTGATGATGACACGATGACACGATTTGCTTGAAAATGTAAATGGTGTAAATTGATTTCCAAAAACGTGCGTCGATAATGTTCAAGTTTGTGTCCGAGTCAACTGTAATACCAGATTACCGTATCATTTAATGTAATGTTATACGACTTTAGAAATGATTAATAGCGACCTTGTCCTCTGGATGATCCGTGAAACTAAGTCGATTGAATCAGACATGTACGTATAAGGGAATGGTCGTTGAGCAACACTTGATTTATTCGTTAAAGTGAACAAGCTTGTCGGAATGTTTGTTGATCGTGTATTTAAAAAGTTTATTTCATTGTTTATATTTATTATTATTTCTTTTTTACATTGCGTTCTAGACTGACATGCTGTCATTTTCTTTTTGTAATCCAGCAAAGTCAGTGGGTACGTGCAGTATGGATACTCTGGTATCTTGAAAAATCGTTTTTATTATGTCTGTACACTCTTATTCATTTATTTATGGGTGAATAAGTATATTATGTACATCGTTGCTAAAATTTTAATTAAAATGAAACTATGATGAACGATAAAGATCTTTTGTAACTTGGCTCACGTTGTGATACAGAGTGTCTATGATACATATATATATATATATGTGTGTGTGAAAATATTTATCAGAAAATATTCTGCTATACATATTATGAACTGTAAGACACTCTATGTGACAAACGCAGTCAAAATTATAGCACCACATGGTAGGCTCTTTCAATAGCAATGTTTCCATGCTTAAATATAACTCACCCCTGTTATCGATAAGGGCAATAATATATCCAACAAAAAAAAATAATATCTAAACACTGATAACTAGGCTGCAGACTTTATGGATTCATATCATGCATCGATATCTATAATTCAGTACAGCATAACGTTTAATAATGTTTAATAAAGTTTCTACTTCATTTTGTTTCACTTTATTTAGAACATGGTAAAACTGATAATAAGGACACAAAGTTTCTGCTTCATTGAAGTTCCTGCGTAGCAGACCATAAATATCCACATTTGCATTAATATTTGCAGTCTACTGATAACCATTTTATAAAGGCATCCTACATATTATTCAATAAAATTAATTTAGTACTATCGACATTTTTCAAGCTGTAGACTCGTAGCTAAATAGATTACATATAAATATATATATATAATAATTTTACGACTCTTTGTAATTTAACGAAATTATTCGAAGCATGCGTAGTTTTCTTTTCGTCATGTGAAACTTATTTATACGGTACCAATATAGAAAAAGAAATTGGAGTATCTATTGAGCTAAAATTCTACGTAATAGGCAGTAATATATCGATAAATTTACTTTGTAAATAAAAATAATTGATTACGGATCCTAATTTGTTGTATCGCATTTATTTATACCCTTCGTTTTATTATTAGCGTATAAGTTATCTCAGTAAAATTTTATTTAACACGAGATAAGTAGTAAAACGTAACAGCACGATAAAACAATAATTATATTTCGCGGGTAATCACTTTCAGCTCGCGTTTGCGCGCAATTCCTTCCCGCCATTTATTTACTCGATTGCGTATCGATTAATGATCGATAAATTTGAATCGTTATTTGCAATGCATTTATCGATGATTTGTTTCTTTTAGGTATTTAAATATTGTAAAAATGCGATGTCTCTTTGTTGAGGAATGTTCTAAGATACTGGTCTATTTTTGTATGAAAATTTTTTTGAATATAATTAATGAAATATTTTTTATTTTATTTGTACCAACTATTGTTAATGTTTAAATACGTCATAATTGACATAGTTCAACTATAATAGTGTTTGTTAGTGCACTAAGATCTTATTAATAGTGTCGGTATTTCAGACCTGTAACTAAAAAGTTTAATTGTTTACCGACCAGTGTTACCGTGATCTCATCGATGACTGCTAGATGGCTGTTTTACTTTAATTTCGTTGTATTTACGAAAGTGCAGTGTTTATTGTTTGCGTCAAGGTATTTACGTTAAGAAGAATAATGGCAGTTCCATCAGTTTCTCTGTCAACCAGAAATAAAAAGCATTTCTTAGGAGTACCGGCTCCTTTGGGATATGTTGCTGGTGTTGGAAGAGGGTAACGTATACGAGAGAATGTTACATAGTCAATCTAACCTTCATTGTCATAACAAGATACTCATTTTCTTGGGATTCATTATTTTACAGAGCTACTGGATTCACAACCAGATCTGATATTGGTCCAGCTCGAGACGCGAATGATGTATCGTAAGTGTTGATTGTTTTTAGTTTTGAATTTGGTTGATGAAAGAGATGTATCTTACGCAGGATTGTCTTTGTAGAGATGATCGGCATGCTCCACCTACAAAACGGACAAAAAAGAAAGAAGAAGAAGAAGAGGACGAAGAAGACTTAAACGATTCTAATTATGACGAATTCTCTGGATATGGAGGCTCACTGTTTAGCAAGGTAAGATAATGTTTGTTCAGTGATATTAAATTTTTAGTAATATCAAATAACTGAATATTTACAGGATCCGTATGATAAAGATGACGAAGAAGCTGATGCTATTTACGAGGCTATTGATAAGCGTATGGACGAAAAACGTAAAGAGTACAGGGAAAAGAGACTTAGGGAAGAACTAGAAAGGTATCGTCAAGAACGTCCTAAAATTCAGCAGCAGTTTTCAGATTTGAAGAGAGAATTAGTAAACGTAACCGAGGAAGAATGGAAAAATGTTCCAGAAGTGGGCGACGCTAGAAACCGGAAACAACGAAATCCGCGAGCCGAAAAATTCACTCCATTACCAGATTCTGTGCTTGCTAGAAATTTAGGGGGTGAAACATCGACCAGTATTGACCCTTCCAGTGGTTTGGCATCCATGATGCCTGGTGTGACAACACCTGGAATGCTGACTCCCACAGGAGATCTAGATTTAAGGAAAATCGGACAAGCTAGGAACACTTTAATGAACGTTAAACTGAATCAGGTTTCCGATTCTGTAGAGGGGCAAACTGTTGTTGACCCAAAGGGCTATCTTACCGATTTGCAAAGTATGATTCCAACCTACGGCGGCGATATCAAGTAAGATTAAAGAACCGCAGAACACATGTAATTTTAATCATCAGTTTCCCAAATTTATATTTGATTTCATTTTCGCAGCGACATCAAGAAAGCCAGGTTGTTGCTGAAATCCGTGAGAGAAACGAATCCCAATCATCCACCAGCGTGGATTGCATCAGCCCGTCTAGAAGAAGTTACTGGAAAGGTGCAAGCTGCTCGAAATTTGATAATGAAGGGCTGTGAAGTGAATCCTACATCGGAAGATCTCTGGCTAGAAGCAGCTAGACTCCAACCACCGGACACAGCTAAAGCAGTGATAGCTCAATCTGTGCGGCATATCCCAACTTCTGTTAGAATATGGATAAAAGCAGCCGATCTAGAAACAGAAACAAAAGCGAAGAGAAGAGTGTATCGCAAAGCGCTGGAACATATTCCAAATTCTGTCAGACTCTGGAAAGCGGCGGTGGAATTGGAAGAGCCAGAGGATGCTCGCATTTTGCTCAGCCGCGCAGTCGAGTGCTGTCCAACCAGTGTAGACTTGTGGCTCGCCTTGGCGAGATTAGAAACTTACGACAATGCGAGGAAGGTCCTGAATAAAGCCAGAGAGAACATTCCAACTGACAGGCAAATCTGGACCACCGCTGCGAAACTGGAGGAGGCTAACGGAAATAAACACATGGTGGAAAAGATCATAGATCGTGCAATATCCTCGTTAAGCGCGAACGGAGTTGAAATTAATAGAGAACACTGGTTCAAGGAAGCCATGGAGGCTGAAAAGGCTGGCGCCGTGCATACGTGCCAAGTTATTGTTAAAGCAATTATTGGTTTTGGAGTGGAGGAGGAGGATAGAAAACATACGTGGATGGAAGATGCGGAAACGGTATGACCAGCAATAAATTTTACTTCTATTTAACCCTTTGCACTTGGAAGTTCTTCAGTAGACATATTTGAACATTTTCTAATAAGATAAAGACGACAAATTAAGCAGCAAAACTATTTTATTTAAATACTTCACATTGCAATACAAAGCTTAATTTAAAATAGTAAATATTCAATTTCATAGTTTTGTCACCTAGGAACAATTATTAATTTCTGTACTTTTTCAGTGTGCTCAACAAGGGGCACTGGAATGCGCCAGGGCTGTTTATGCTTACGCATTGTCAACGTTCCCCAGTAAGAAGTCAATCTGGCTGCGTGCAGCTTACTTTGAGAAGACGTATGGCACGCGAGAGTCCCTGGAGTCTTTGTTACAAAGAGCGGTTGCTCACTGTCCTAAGAGCGAAGTACTTTGGCTGATGGGTGCCAAATCTAAGTGGTTAGCCGTACGTAAATGAAAATAAATTTCCATAGACTGTTGTATCATTAACACACATGGAACTATGGACTGTTCTTTTTCCCACAGGGCGATGTTCCAGCAGCTAGAGGTATTCTGTCTCTCGCGTTCCAAGCGAATCCGAACTCAGAAGAGATTTGGTTGGCAGCTGTGAAGTTAGAATCTGAAAACTCGGAGTACGAGAGAGCCCGTCGATTATTAGCGAAGGCGAGAGCATCTGCTCCAACTCCCAGAGTAATGATGAAGAGTGCCAAGTTAGAATGGGCTTTAAACAATCTCGACGCTGCCTTGCTACTCCTAAGGGAGGCTTTGGAAGCATTCGATGACTTCCCTAAGCTATGGCTGATGAAAGGTCAAATCGAAGAGCAGCAGGGGAACTTGGATAAAGCCTTGGACACCTACAATCAGGCGGTCAGTTCATTTAATAGGTAAATTTACAAATTAGATTTCTGTTTTACATGTTTACTCCTTTTACAGATAAAGAAATGCCCAAATTCGATTCCACTGTGGCGCTTGCTGGCACAGTTGGAGCATAGGAAAGGTCAAGTCACCAAGGCTCGCTCAGTTTTGGAGAAGGCGCGCTTGAAAAATCCAAAGAACGCGGAGCTTTGGTTGGAAGCGATCAGAAACGAACTGAAAAGCGGCGGCGTAAGGGATATGGCGAATACGTTAATGGCGAAAGCTTTGCAAGAGTGTCCCACGTCAGGATTGCTTTGGGCGGAGGCGATATTCATGGAGCCGCGGCCACAGAGGAAAACTAAAAGCGTCGATGCACTGAAGAAATGCGAACACGATCCTCACGTACTTCTAGCAGTATCCAAGTTAGTTGATTATCTATAAATTGTTTCAAGCATGGTACTTTTGTGATAATGAAGTTGTATGTGTTTTCAGGTTGTTTTGGTGTGAACATAAAATTTCCAAATGTAGAGACTGGTTTAATAGGACGGTGAAGATAGACCCAGATTTAGGAGATGCATGGGCATATTTCTATAAATTCGAACTTTTAAATGGTACAGAGGAACAACAAGAAGACGTAAAGAAACGTTGTATCACTGCGGAACCTCATCACGGTGAAAATTGGTGTAAAGTATCGAAGAATATAGCGAATTGGTGTTTGAGCATAGATCAAATTCTGATACTAGTCGCAAGAGATTTACCAATTCCGATATAATAATCTGTAAACTATATTTAAATTTATACTGTATATATTTCCTTGAAGACTTACGTGTAATAATAAAATAAGTGACCTTTAAGTATGTTAATATTAAATTTTGTTAATCAATCCGATCCATCTTATGTAAATTAACGAAAATAAAGAAATACAGGTGTGTGTTTGTATGTGCTTGCATGTGCATATTGTGTTCATTATAAATAAAATTCAATATAATCAGCAATTACAGTTGTATGTTGTTGAAATAAAGATTTTTAGTTAATCGGAGTAGCAAGTTTGGGTAATCCATAAAAAGTATAAATCGATAATGTAGGAATTGACACATTATTGTCCTCTTGTTTTAATTATTCTTCAGTGTTTATAATACGAATAAAAAGAATTATAAATGAATATTGTAAAAGCTATTTGATAACTCTTTAACTGTCTGTTTAAATTATTAAAATTAAAAGCAATTGAGAATAGACTATGCATAAGTAGGAGAAATTCTTACAATGTTCCACTTGTACTATTTACTTGAGCAGATCGTAACATATATTCCATAGTTATTCAGTGTTAATATTTATCCAGCTAAACTAGGTTATTGTTCGTATTCCATTGTAAAGGGAATAATGGTAAAAGTTAACGACCGAGGAAGAATATTTGTTGAAAATTGTACGACGTAATATGTAATCGATGTATATTATAGTGGACGCACAGGAAAAAATAAAAGTACGCCATATTTGTTTTTGAAGCAACTCATCCTATGTCCAATTTACGATAATGGGGAAAAAATATCGATTCAGAAATAAGTTAAAACACGTGGATTTGTTCGCGCTTTAAAATTCTAAGCAATACACAGCGAATAAAAGGAAGGTATGTAGGTGTTTCAATTGGAGTAATTGACGTGCCTTCAAGATTTTGGCTGCATAACAAGCAGAAGATATATTATGATTCACTGTTTATGTGTGTAATGTACGTGCCTATACTTATTGCCTATTATACAAATAAAATTCTCTTATAAAATGGCGAAGAATGATGGTTCAAACATCACAAAACAAACATCGCAACAGTGTTTTTGTGCAAACACTGTTCGAGAGAATGAAAGAATGCTACACGAATCATGTCGTAGACATCAAGTAAGTATTATATATTGTACGTCTAAGAATTGTATCTTATTGCAGAGAAGAAACCATTAACTATCGTTAATTCCTTAGGCAGACACTAAAAACAAGGAAGATTTCGAGAAGTTGTTTATCAAACTCAATTATATTTGTCAGCTTAAAGCATCCAAGGAAGTGCAGGCGACTTCTTGGAGTAATAAAAATGTAAGATTTAAGAGGAATATATCTTTTATCCATTTATCTCGCATAAATAGATTTTATTGTATCCTTTCGTGTTAGGTTATAAACTACATATATGGACCTATCCCAGGATTTCCATCTGGTTCTTGGTGGGGTATCCGTATGGATTGTTCCAGGGATCGTGTTCATGATCCCTTTGATGAAAATATTCAGAATGGACCATTCGGAGTTACTTCATTTTGTACTTCAAGCAATAATTTGAACGAAGATGTTGATTTTGGTAGTTATCTTACTCTTACAGGTCAAAAATATATTAATGGACAGACTGATTGGGATCCGCTAATTAAAAATTATGAAAATCAAATACCAGTGAGATTAATTAGAAGTTACAATTTGTTAAACGAATTCGCTCCAAAAACGGGCTACAGATATGACGGTCTGTACATAGTAGCAAACTTCTGGATAGGTGTAAATTCAGATTCTACAAAGTACTACAAATTCGCTCTGTTACGTTTAACTAATCAAGATCCACCAATTTGGAGTAGTAAACAGACTTCCACGAGTACTAGTACGTCTTACTCCATTGGGCAACTTGCATCTTTGTCTCTTCAGAACAACTCCGAAAATTCTTCTCCAAGTCCATATAAGTTTAAGAAATGCCTGCACAGTTCCGAGCATGTACAAAAAGGAAAGTATGACAGATCAACTGAATCTTTGCAGTCTCCGAATTTTGAAACTAAGAAGACAGATGAAAAGGAAAGGGGTACCGCTGAAAGTGCGATAGTAACTCGTCATGTGTTTAAAAAAGGAAATCCAGATTGTACAGTCAGTACTCCTAGCACCTCTATCATGTCAGAGAACAAACCGTTAACTCATATTGGTAACCAAGGATCTAAAGCTCACAGTACAAATATTTCCATACGTACAGGCCTGTACGACTCGTCGCATAGTACACAGCATGACGTTAAGAGAAGTAGTACTTTGTCGTCGTTTTGTAGAACTGTTAAACCACTGAATCTTCTTAAAACTAATCAACATACTGAAATTTCAAGTTCATCCAGTAAAGATAAAAATAAGACTTTGGATGGAAAAGTACAATCCATTGGAGCATATGAATTTCCTAAACGTGTGGATTATATTTTGCCTAATTCAGTAAAGTCAGAAACATTGAAAATAAAGGTAACTAAAGATGTAAGTTCAGAAAAGAATGATAATCCGATGGATGTAAATTTAAGTCCTTATTACAAGCATGAAAACAACATTAATAAAACATATGAGGATTTAACAAATGATTCCACAGAGATCCATGGAAGTAACGGAAGTTCATCTGAAACAACCACTAATATCTTGAACACAACAAATTTCTTATATAGGAATGATAATTCAACATTGAAAGAAGCACAAGAATTAAAATCAATTAACTCCTTGGACACATTGACGCCGGATAAAATTTTACACTTAATTAACAACAATTGTCATCCTCTGTCAAAACTGCTCATTGGTAATATGATAGGACTAACATCGGAACAATCTATAGACTTAAAACCACACGATTTATCAATTGACAAGTCCGAGAACAAGACTAAAACAGCAATGTCGAAGAGCAGTATGAAAGAAACAAACGAAAAGAAAAATAATTCGGATGAGTTATCAACATCGAGATACTATAAATTCAGACGACATAGAAGATTATCTAAAAAGATGATAAACAAGCAAGAGCTAATGAAGTGCGAAAATACACACGATGGAGAATTAGGAAAAAGGTCTGTGCAATCTTCAGATGCTTTGGAGCAGAGCGTAGCACCTTTTGATATGTGCAATGGCTCGAAAGCAAATATATCAGAGGAAGAGTCTTTGGATTCAAATAAACTCAACAAGGAGGTAAAAAATAAAATAGTGAGGCAGAAGAAAATTAATGGTCTTCAGGAATCACCGAAAAATATGAAAAAGAACATGGGCACCAGGAACGAAATAAGGACACGTTTAAGAACTATGAAAGCAATTAAACCATCTATGAAGAAACATATAAATAAAAGACAGAGACGAGAAATTGCGAATTTGTTAATAGACGCGAAAATTGGTCCAAAAGTGCGTGGTCCACGAAACAGAAGATTACGGTGCATTAGTAACACGTACTCTAAACAATCATGCGAACGTTATGGGACTGGAATATGTACTCTGACCAAATGTCGAATTAACCCTGAAATATCTGGGCAGCAGTCTACGTTTAAAAATCGAAATGGAATCATCAAAATTGGTAGCTGTAAACGTATTAGGAATAAGCAGACAGTAAGTATTCAGAAGTCGGAAGCGTTAAAAGAGAATAGAGTGCAAAAGAATCTCACTCTTGCTAGGAAAGTAAATAAAGACAATGTAGATGATAAAATTGTAATTAATAATAGTATTAATACAAGTGATGATAACAAGAAACCGAAGGTTCTAAAAAGCAACGTTGAGCCGGCGATGAGAGCCATAGTGGTGAATCGAAGAAAAAAATTAATACAACCAATTCCCACTAAACTGAAGAACATTAAATTCGAGGGAGAGATGCACAGTGACAGTGGGAAAGAAGTGTCGAAACCTTGTAAAACGGACGCGATTACTCAATGTTCCCTTATCAAGGAGCCGTTAATGAGAAATCTGCAGTTATACGATTTTGGGCAGAAATGTAATCGCAACGAGCAATATACTTTCATTAAAATAGAATACGGTGAGAACAAAGATGTAAGATCCGAAGTGTGCAAAGCTGCTAGATCAAACAGTGAAAAGAAAAGTTATCCGAAACATAAAATTGAGAAACATAAACATATAGAGTCTGTATATAATGCACAACACTCTAAAAACACGAGCACATTGTCGGGTAAGAATATTTTGAATACAAAGGAAGAAACTAAATCATCAATGGAAAGAGTATCTGCATTCGTACCTGTTAATGTTTTGGATAATGACTTGAAAATTGCTCGTCTCAGATCAATAGGATTCAAACCAATCGCTTGTAGTAACAGTAGTAACGAAGTTACGCCTGACCAAAGTAAAAGAAACTCTTCTGGAACATTTATCAGCAAAGTTTTAAGGCAGAACGTTGCTGAAAAGTATAACAAGTACACCAACGAAGAGAATGATATCGTTGTATATATGGATGAGGAATTGCAATATCAAGATATCGAGGATGAAGATAAGTATTCATTGTGCAATAAACGCAAAGCATTAAAAATGGAGGGTTGCAGTTCGAACAACGATGAAGCAGAAAAGGAATCCAGCATCGATGCTAGATTGTCCCTAGAACAAGATTTAGATTCACCTTGGCATGGATGGAAAAAGGTCGTAACAAATACAAACATATACTGGGTTGGTTGGTAAAACAAACGAATCTTGAGTGTAACAAATAATTTGTAATTTTCTGTATTATTGTATTATCGTAAGGAATTCCTCTAAAAAAAGAAAGCAAACAGAAATATACAATATATTTATATATATATATAGTATAG